GGTCAGTTAAATTTAAAAGTTCATGCTATACGTACAACCAAAAAAAGATTCTGTATTTCTATAAGTGGGGTAAAACTATGGAATAATTTAAGTGTGGACATAAAAAATAGTAATAGAATTGATGAGTTTAAACATAAATATAAAGGTATGTGTCAATCAAGATATATGCAAGAACAGGCTTAATGATTAATTAGATGGAACATTGTGGGTGTGGTGTATGAATGTTAACACTTTGTAATAATTCTTTAGTATATTACTTGTGTGGTGTAGAAGAGAATCATTTACTGCTTGCAAACCAAGGATGGTAAGATGATGTCATGGGGTAGGACTGGATAAGTCTGACTTCTTCCTACTCCATTCAAGCATGTACTAGGTATAAGCAAATTGATATTGGATTAGCATTTGTTGGATATGTGTAAAATTATGTGTGTTGCCATATCAACTGTCTTTACATGCTTGAAAGAATAAATCAAATCAAATCAAATCAAGTTTAAAATGCTTCAGAATAAACAGTCAAGCCTTTGATCAGTTTGACCCTGTTCCTCATGTTTTCCAGTTAGTTAACTGAATGGTGATATTCACATGATTAATTGGGGTTTCATGGTATTTTCTGAAGGCATGAAAAACAGACTAGACTTTAGCAAAAGAACAAAAAAACAACAGAACAAACAGCTTACAGAAAATTTTTGCTCTGCAGAGAAATCAGAAAAATAAAATACCTGCCTGGTCCAACACACTACATCAGCTAAAACAGCCAATGAAATTAAAATACAAGTCTGGCATGTGCTATATATTATTGCTTTGAATTTTACTTTAAGAATCAGAGAATTTACAGGTACATGTGTATGAGTTTTCCGTAGTTTCACAGTTTTTTTTTTTTTTTTTACTTTTTCTCGGTTGAAGCACACAGACTTGTGAGCTATTGCTACCACTGCAGGATTTTGTTTACATTAAACTGTAGACAACAGTATTCTCATGAAGCAGGTAACACAACAACACCCCGATTAATGTGAAGATTAAAAAAGTAACTTTTAACTTATCTACTCTTTTAAACAATCCTGGAATTTTCTAGTGAATCCTTGTACCAAGTCTTAACTATGGTTTTTTATAATGTGTTTTTATGTTACTTGGACACATGCACAAATTAATCATCAATATGAGGTAAAAATGTATTTCCTAAAGTGTCAAAATGTTTCAAAACATTCAATGAAAAAAATGTATGACATGCCCCCTGAAAAAAAAAAACCTCACATGCAAGTGTGCGCCCAAGTGTGTGTATGTGCACCGTACCTGTGTGCAGCCTCTGAGGAACAGTGCACGTAAACCGGTGCAGCCTCTAGCCAGAGCCTCGATGCCATCGCGTGTGATCTGGTCACACCATGACAAGTTCAACATCTCCAGCATTCTGCAACCATCACTGTACAAGGAGACCCACACAGTTCACAATACACAAAGACACATGAACCAGTCCACATGTAGCATCTTCTTATTTGTTGAACACAGAACAACGTGCACAGTGTCGAGAGAGCGGTGTTAATTTTGTTAACGAAAACTATGACAAAAAATATTTGTTGGCAACCTATTTTTCAGGATGAAAATCAAACAAACACTAAATAAAAAACTAACATTTGATAACGAGAACTCTGACAAAATGTTTTACAGTTTTCATCAACAAATAAAAAGTAAACAATAATGTAAAAGATGGACAAACGGACGGGAAGCAGCTTAGTGACCTGCTGCATCTGTGGAACCACAACCTGGAGCTGATCAGTAAAACGGTTTCCAGCCAAAATCTCTCTTATTCTGGAGCTGAATTGGGCATTAGCGCTTCCTGGAAGAACCAGGTTTATGAATCATATCCATCTACAACCCAGAGAATTACATAAAAAGCTCCTGGGGCACACTAGGAAAATGCAGCACCACGCCATATGAGACGGCAGGATAATTTAACATAAACGCTGTGGATGTAGATGTAACGTGTTGCTATCAGTCAGTTCCAGGATTAGGATGAGCAGTCAACCATAAATCATCTCTAAACATTCACTGCAGAGAGCAGACACAGTTTTAATGTTACCCAACGATTTAGCATCATCTCTGAACCCAGTGAAGAGGTTTTTAATACAAACGTGAGTGAGTCCAGCTTCTGTAGAGCAGAGCGACACTGTGTGAAGAAAACGCCATTTTCCACAAACGGGAACAACACGTAACCATGGTAACTATACACAACCAGGATGAAGAAGATATAGCCTACAGTAAATATTAAAAATGCTGTTTAAAAATGACTAAAAATAGACTAAACTGTATTGAGTTTTTTATTGACTAAAACCAGATTAAAACCAACAAAAATCTAAAGACTAAAATCTGACTAAAACTAATAAGCATTTTCATCAAAAGACTAAAACAAAATCAAATTCAGGTGTCAAAATTAACACTGCAAGAGAGAGTGAGCGTGTAAGCAAGAGAACCAGGGAGTGTGTGTGAGGTTATGTGTGACTGTACAGTCTGTTCTCAGGATGTAACAGGTGAGGGGTTTGTGGGGAACTGACAACTGTTTCCATTTTACTGCTAACAGGGGGTTTTGTTATGCCAGGGTTCGGTCAGCCAGTGTGCAGGTGCTACCTGAGAGCCTTCAGGGAGTGGTTGCTGATGGACACACAGGAGGTGAGATCTAAGTGTTTGAGTTTGGAGCAAAATTTGCTGAGGCTGACGCAGGTACTGTCGGTGATCTTGGTGCATCCATTCAGGTTCAACACTTCGATGTTTCTGCAGTTCTGAGCAAATGTCCTGGGAAACAGTCGAACAATGAGGAGGGAGAAGAAGTGAAATAAGAATTCAGAAGCTGGGAGCTGATCAGGAGCCAATTAACATAGTCATCGACAGCCCCTTGGCAGCTGGTTGTACAACTACTGCACGTTTCTGTTTTACATGTTGCTGTTAAATGAAAGCTTTACTCTTCAAAGAACAATGTGTACTTCTTTAAAGTACTTTGGTTACAGAGGTCAAAGAGATTATAGATAAAACCAAAATTACCCACTTTATTTTTTTTAATTTGTTGTATTTGTATGCACACTAAAGTGAGATTAAAAGGAATCAAGTGTCCCCTGGGACTAATGAGGCACAAGCTGCTTCAACTTTCAACAAAATCAAACAGGGACAAAAACAGCACATAATCAAACCAACTAGAGAATGACTTTTAGTACAAATCAAAGCAGAGGCACAGTTTTTACACCAGTATAGCTCAGACAGACAATGAGATTCTCACTTCATGGAGGCATCTCCGACACTCAGGCAGCCCCTGAGGCTCAGCTGCTTCAGGAAGCCTCCACAACGCTTGGAAATGTTCTCTACTACCCTCCCCTGAGAGACACAGGAACAGAGAGAAAGAGAGAGAATAATATGACTTGGGCCACAGGACAGAGGATCAGCAGTGACATCACAGCTGGCACCCAAGCCTACTGACCCAGCACTAAGCCTTGGGCTAGATAATGCCACTCAACAAGCACACACACACACACACACACACACACAACTCTATCCCCTCACTTTCCTCTCTCATAATCACACCCCTCACCTCTATGTCTGTCTGGAAGTTAAACAAGTCGATCTTCTGCCAGTTGCTGCCATCGAGAGCCAGGACATTCCACGCCTGAGAGGGAGACACACGGGTTGTGGACACACAGACAAGTGGTCAGAAAAACGTTGGGGAGGGTGACTCTGTTATCGAGATATGTGGGAGAAATTAATGAATACCTCTCTACAGGTTTGAGTACACATGAACTATGCCCAATTCGTTTTTTATTTTGGTTCGAGTAGTAGATGCAGCAGCTGCTCTGTTCACCTCTCCAGTGTGAGGAACTGGCACTCTTCTCTGATTTATTACATTGTAAACTGAAATCGCTGGGGTGTTGGTCAGACCAAACAAGACACCTGAAGCATCATCTTGGGCTCTAGGGAATTATATTTCCACTGTTGTCTGATAATTTAAAGTCAAAACATTTAATCAGTGACTCAATAAAATAATCAGGCGAGCACACAGAACACCTGTGTGTCCACTTACACATAACCAGCAGCTGGCAGTATATTAGAGACAATTCTAGAGAATCCAGTAACGGAAAACTGTTATTAATTTAACTATAGCATACTTTAGAGTCACACCAATCCATTCTTTTACGACAATGAATGTTTGGAGATAAAGAGGCAGGCATGCTTACCTTGGATACTTGGGCACACCTACAGAGTGTAACCACATCTAGATAGGAGAATATTCTAGAGAAACAATAGAGAGAAAGTATGTCTCAGATCATTGATCATTGTCAAGTAAAGAGCTCCGTTTCCAGCTAAATATTTTATTGGAATAACCTTCCTTTGGTGTTAATTATGTTTTACAAGTCTGTAGAAAACAGCTATCTTCTTGGTTTTGTTGGAGGAGAGCCCTTCAAGCAGGCAGTGTGTGAGCTGGAGGCCGGTCAGCCAACAAAGGGCTGCATGCTGCAGCCTCCTGGGTCAGCTCGATCCATTAATCAGCCAGTGAGTAATCTCTGGCACTCAGACATGTAAGGCTGCAGACAAACAATCACAGTATATACAGAAGCACATATACAACCTGTACACCTTCTCTGAGCTCCCAGCCTGTTACTGCTCTGAGCAGTGCCTCAAAAGGGACAATTTAAAGAAAATTTAAGGTATTCAGGGAACCGGCAGAGTGCAGCTGGGGTCTGAGCATTCTTTTAACCCAAGAAAATAGGAGCTGACATGGACAAAGGCTGTGTGTTTTGCTGTGCGTTAGGCCGGGGCATGTTAGGGCATGTCTGTATAATCTATACTGGAGCCTTGTGTCAGGGAGCACTAGAATACAATCAACAAAGCAACGCAAAACAGTACGTGGCACACGTGTACTCTCACACATCGAACACGTGGACACACAGCTCTTGGAGTAATCGCAGGCTACCAGAGAGAATGACCCATCAAAGCTGATGCTCATTGATCTCCCTTCTAATAATTGGTTAATGGCTGTGATGCTGATCATTGACCAACTGACTGGTTTAATCCAACACAACCTGACTTTGCATTATTTGTGTGAGAGAGGCCTTCCACCAAACACAAAAAAAAAATCTGTTAAACGTACTCACAGGGAAGCAATCACTCAGTCTGATTTGGGAACTCCTGTTAAACTATTTGACATTTATTCTTAACCATAAAAGCGTAATATCTGAGAGCAGCTCTGGCTTGTTATGTGACGAGAGAGCGTTGAATCCAGATACAGCTGTATCAGTAACTTTTACATAAGAGTGAAAAAAGACAACAGAAAAGGGAGGAGATGACATAACAGAATCAAATTCAGAGGTATGACATTATGAGTACTTTATGTTTTTCACTGTATGACACACAAGAAAGCTTGTGAACACAGACAAAACAGAAAATAAGTCTGCCCTGGGAATGCCTGTTTTCTAATATGGTTCATAAAAGGATTTTAACGGAGCATCATCCTGTTACAAAATGTACACCTGGCCCTTCAAGCATGGCTACATAAGAGAGACAAGCCTTCACCGTGACTCTGCAACTGGTTGCCATAGTAACTCTGGCCAGACATTATTTTCGGCGGTGGTGGGGAGGATGCTGAGTCAGAGCTTCTGAGTGAGAGGACCCTGAACCAGTCTGAACTCTGTCCGAGGCTTGTGTGCCAGACAAGGTTCTTCTGTATCAAGGCACAGCTTTCACACTTTGTATCCATCCTGCACGGGCAGAGAGAACAGCTGCTTACAATGCACCAGCTGAAAGGCAGTCGAGTACAACCCCGAGCCAGGTTCTGGCAGTGGTACATTAGATGGTATATTACTTTCTTGGCTGGAGATCCTTTAAAATGATTCAGTGCCTCCTTTAACGCTGTGTTACAGGGCACAATACCAAAGACTGGGTTTCTCCTCTAAAGTTTTCAGGTCATTTTATTTTAGAGTTCCAATAACTAGTCAATTCATCTATTAGTTGATCAACAGAAAATGTATTTTGATAATCAAATAATCACTTATGTTATAAGCTAAACTTTTTCTGGTTCCAGTTTCTCAGATGGGAAGATCTGATACTTTTCTTTGTCTTATCTCAGTATCTCTGGGTGTTTGACTGATGGTCGAATAAAAATACATTAGTCACTATTCAGTCAGTTTATTGACAAAATAATTAACTGGTTAATCAAAAGCTACTGGCCTCATCTGAACATCCCTTAACAGGTGTCTTTCTTATCTGTCTATTGTATGTTTAATGAGCTGGTCCAGAAAAATTGCCCTTAAGGGAATTTTTTAAAAGTTGTTTGAATAATATATGATCAACATTTTAATCAATAATGAACATAAATATTAGCTTTAGCCATATTTCTTTTGACTATGCTAAAGGACTGTAAAACTAAAACTTGTGAAACTATCCAGTGTTTCTAAACAAAAAAGAAGCAAATATCTAAAAAAAAAAAATATGCCAGAAAAAAAATTTCTAGTAGCAGAACAATATTTTCTTTCTCTCCTGTCCCAATAATCACCTGGCAACCACACGAGGTCCTAATCCCCAGGTTGTGGACCACTGATTTACTCTATACTTCTAATTCATTTCGAATTATAAAAAATGTGCTTACAATAAGTTAAGAATAAAAGTTACTGTTCAAAATATCTACATATTCCATTATGTAAGAGCCTCTGGGGAAACATAATGTCCCTCACTATACATCATTGACAGGGCAAAACAGAACTAATACATAAAAAGGCTGAAGTCAACCCACTGTCCGTGGTTTAAAAATACGATCGTACTGCATCACAGTGAGTCTCCCTCACAGTAGATATTCTGTAAATGTCACAACATGACACATGTGACAGTAACTCATGTGTCGTAGCTACTGCAGCGAGTGCATGCAAGTGAGTTTTTCTGTCCACTGGCGAAAATGTGCTAGTGGGAACGGGTATACTGGTGGAACACAGCTGGAGCAGCAGAAGAGCACAGCACTGCGGAATTCCCCACCAGCTAAGACAAGCTATTTATAGCACGCAGACATACAGCATACATATGCCCAGGAGTGTTTTACACACACACACACACACACACACACAGAAACATATGAAGTGCACAACTGTAGCAACAAACAGACCGCATCATGTGGCTGCAGAGGAACGTGCAGGTGCATCCTTTTCTAACATACTGTGCAGCACACACACACTATATCCTTATATAAATCAGTGTGGAGGATGAACACAGGTGAGTGTGTAATGTCAGATTTATGGGTCACGCTCAGCTGCTGCAGTGGAACGAAATGTTGGTCTGTAGGTCACACAGTTAACCACGCCTCATTTCAGAATGCTGTCATACATCACACAACACAAAGACACTTACAGTTCACACACACACCTACACTCCTACACACTGTTCAGGGCTCCTTTCACTAATGAATAATGAATGATCTAAGCCCTTGTCCCAGGGTGTGGTATGTTGTATTTTGTGTGTGTGTGTGTGTGTGTGTGTGTGTGCGTGTGTAGAGGGGAGTTTCCATAATAATCTTACCTGAGAAGAAGCTCTTTGGGAAGCTTCTTATTAATGGGGGCTTCCTCGCTGTTTGAGAACACCTGTTGAGACACAAGATAAACAAAAACATGGAGTGACTGTATCTATGTGTGTATATCTGTGCGCATTTAAGGTGGTCATGAGGAATGAGACAGAGCAGTGACAATGACAACGCAGATCAAAATAGCAAAAATATGTTTAATGAAAATAGACCCATGCACTGTCTTTTAGTTACTAATGAGAAATAGGATATTGCTTCCTTAAGTGATGCCAATAAACAAGCCAGAGCTACATTTGATTTTCCAGGTCCCTTCCTTACAAGCTTATAATTCTGTCAGCCTGGTCAGCTGGTTGGCATGCTTATCTCAATTAGTCTACTCACTGGATGTCTGGCCATCTGCTGAGTGGGACACAAACACACACACACACACACACACACACACACCTATATGCTACCAGGTGATTCAAGTAAGACCTCTGTGTGTGAAGAGCAGAGGCAGAACGTTCTAGATCAGATGGGCTTGTACTCAGCCATGAATTTAAATCACACCCACATTTGCTATGCCTCTGCAGACGCGCATCTTGCCAGTAATACACTTGTATCATTAAAGACTCAGAAACTGGATTTAGCCAGGGGGACTCCCTGCTGCTCTGCATGCAAACACAAACACTGATATGGAAAACACAAAGGAGAGTGTGGAGAGGTGCAGGAAGAGCAAAGGTTGATTCTGAAAACATCTTGGCTCCAGCTCGCTCCATGATAGACACGAGTTCCTCGAAAGAGACGGCCACAGTGGGGAGCACAGGAAGAATATGTGCAAAATATGTGTAAAATCAGGGGGTTGACAGGGCCATAACTGCCATTTCAGAGGAAGTGGGGTTAAGAAGACAAAAGAAAGGGAGTTGGTCCAGTCACTGGCCAGCAACTGGTTTGAACTTTAACGTCTCTGTTCAGGTAACACACAGCAGACAACGGGGTCTGAAACACAGACCTGAACTTATTGATTAACTATATCCAGTAATAGCTGCAGGGCACAGTTAAAACCTTTTCTATCATTTGTCCTCACATACCCCTGTAGTGAATAAGGCAATATCACACTCTTATCTGTCAGGGTTTTAGCTAACTACCTCTATGGGAAGCTCAATAAAAGCTTTACAGAAATGCCTTAGAAACCCTTTATCATTACCGTATGCCCTTCAGTTACAGTTATCTTTAGCACCGTGTCAATTGAGTAGAGGAAATGAAACTAACCTTAAATGTACAAGACCGTATGTTCCGAATGTTAGGAAGAGAACTGTCAACAGACAGATCTACTGTATGTTATCTCAGTGTCTGTCTAAAGCCAGAGGTGTCTTAGGACTTCTTCAGTCTAATACCCAAAGATATTCAGTTTACTACAGAATAAGTAAAGAAACACCTGATTTCTCTGATTTGTTTTACTGGAATCACAAAATATTTGGTAATGTTGCAACATGCTGCCAAATCAATTTCTGTGGCATGGCCAACTGACTAATCCTTCCTCTAACATCCTTATATCTATTTTATCAGTCAGCAGACAAAGAGCAAAAATTTAACTAGTGCAAAGAAATTAGCACAGTGTTGTGCAACAGCACCACCACGGTGTTTGGTGTCTAATCTCAGCTGTGGTTATGGCTTTATTGATCCATCGAGATCAATAAAGTATATATCTACCTATCTATCAATCTATCATGGCAGCAAGTTTCAAAGTCATCTCTCTGGTAAGTGTGCTTCATTGAAATGATCACCTCAGCACTCTGGTGCCCTCGTTCCCTGCGTCAGCAGAGCAGCATTCCCAAGCAGGGAGTTCCTCTCTGCAGTCCCTTTCCTAGACAGAGTGCAACAGCGTTGATATGAAATTTGGACTCAGTTATGGAGTTTCGTTGCCACAGTGAAGGTATCTGGATCATACGGTGGGCTCATTTCCTGGTCCTACTATACCACATCTACAAGGGGCTTATGCCACGTGATCAATACAAAAGCATCATCTCAGGTAGGAAGCTTTAGACAACGATCCAAAGTCTGACTCTATTAGCTGCTACTCTCCAGTCTCTCTTACACGGCACCTTGTTTGCCACCATACACTGGTCTCCATCCAAGAAACTTACAGCGCTGCTGAGAAATCTGCTGACATGCTAACACATCGGCGCCGCTTCCACTTTGCTCTCACCCACTCGCATGTAAACTATCACCTAATGGAAACGATCAAGTACTCAAACTCTAAAGAATCTCAACAATGAATGTATGATATTTCAGATAAACAATGCCAACAGCTCATGGCAGTCACAACCAGCTGGAGCTGATGTAAGGCTCGTAGATATCGCAAATAAAATGCTGACACTGCAAAACATTATTACAGCACAGGTATTTCACATCAATCATACTTTTACATAGCTGTACTTCGGGGTAATCTGTCATATGGTATGCAGATGAGAACACGTGGAGAGTAATGAAGTACATTTACTCAAATACTGCACTCAAGTACAGTTTGGAGATGATAATACTTTAACTTCTTGTTTTATGCCTTTTCATAAGCTACTTCAACTCAACATTTCAGTGCAAATACTGACTGATCTTATTAATGGTTTCTTTGCAGGTTAAGGTTTCATAAACACAAAACAGCTGATCATCTTATAAAATGTGACTTACTGTCACAGATTAAACTAAACAACAGTATAAAAATTAAAATATTCTTTACTGCAACAAGCTATAACATAAAATGTTGCATATACAAATCCAATACAATCCAGTGATATGATAAAAACTGGCAGGGGTCATTGCACCTACATTACAAGCTTACTTTTTATACTTTAAGAACATTTTGCTGCTGATAATTCTGTGAATACTACTTTCATTGCTGCATTTGTGCACAAAAGGGTGTGTGTGTGTTTGCTGCTTTCTTGAGGAAACTATCATAAAAATACCAAAAGGTTGTGGGAGAAGATGATTATTCATAGCTCTCATGAAACACACTATATTATTTCAGATTCTTGAACCCAAAAAGGCCAGTGAGTCACAAAGCCATCCAAACCTCCTGTGGCACCTGTCATTCACAGGTATCACAAGTGGTGTCACAGCTTTTGCAGTAATATCGCCAAACCCCAGTGATGACTAATTCACTGTTTGCATTTACAACATTTACTCTCCGTCTGCAGCCCCCTCCTGATAGCCTGGACCTGATATATTGACAACCCTCAGCCACAGCCCTCCCGTCCCGCAGTCCTGAGCTCCATGTTGTCGCTGTCTGCTGGTGCGGCAGGACAATAACAGGATTTCGGATTACCCTTGACCAACAACACGCTTCAGCTCCCGAATGCATGTAAAATTAGGAGTCGACCACACACATACACACACACGCGCACTCTGTTTATACAAGCCCATGATTCCCATGTCTACTAGAAACAAACAGTTGAACCGCTGGTGGTCCACTCCCTCTGTCATACCTCGAACCGGCCCTTGGTGATACCGTTCATGTCTGCGGAGGCACTTCCCTGCTACGAACCGCACACACGCCAGTCGAGCCGTTTGACGAATGCCGTTATTGTTTTTGTCGCCGTTTTATTTTTGGTCAGTCGGAGTGTAGGAGCCGAGCTGGAGCTGGAGCTGGAGCTGGAGCTGGGTCCTCACACCCTCCCCCCCAGCAGTCAGCGTGGCTCCTGTCTCCGGGTCAGTGAAGTGGTGGTGAAGGTGGTGTCGGTCCGGGGCGGCCTGCGGTAACAGTTAACAGTCGTTGTTTCGGAGACCAGCGGCTCTCCAGCCCGTCTCATCACAGGGCTACCAAAATAACAATAATAACATGGACGGTCTGTCAAGTGACTTCACTTCCGCCTCTCCCTTCATCGCTCCAGCGCAAGTCAGCTGCCTCCAAATCGCACAAGTTTGATAAAAACACAGGGGAAACGCAAAATTAAAGTCCGCTGTCATCTCTCGAACCGCGTTTCCCGCACCGAACACACGCACGGCACCTGACGAGGTCGTTTTCGTCAATATGTTTTCTGTTTACTTGCGGGAAGAGGGGCGGGCGCACGTGACGTCATTGCTGCGGAAAAGCACGCGTGGTCGATTTATTTTGATTGTGGGGTCTGGCGGAGATTTTGGAAAATTAAGACAAAGGAGCTTTTTGACCGCATTTAGCGAGGGAGTCACGGTGTCACAGCACCGTGATACGACCTGGCACGGACCGGTGGGTCTGAATAAAGGAAGGAAACGCTCGCATCTGTGGACGCCAGGTCCATGTTGCAAGATTCTGTCTGCAGTAGAGATCTTCAACACTGTCACATTCAGGCTTCAACCTGCAGACACACAGCCAAAACATATTGGCCCCACTCCTCCATCATTCAAGCATTATGTAAACTGTTTAGATACCAACAGTGGTGGAAGAATACCGATGTAAAAACAGCAATATACTGTCAAAAACTCTATGTGCAAACTCAGAATCTTAAGTGAGTAAAAGTACAGAAGTATCAGCAAAATATAAGATACTTAAAGTAACAAAAGTGCTCCTCCTACTAAATGTCCTCTTTCATAGTGTTACATACTATATTATTGGATTAATATTCTTTATGCTTACATATGAGCAGCATTATTGTCGATTGTGTTATAGCAAATATTCACCATTTTCAAGTCAAGTCAGTTTTTATTTGTATAGCTCAATATCACAAATTTGCCTCAATGGGCCTAATCTGCAGATACAGTGCCATCAGGAAGAGCAACAAATCAACATAAGAGATTTACAGTCTGGACAATCACAATTACAAAATGGTATATTGTAACACATATGACGGACATTGTATAAACAGATATACTGTGTAGGCTGACCATATACGAGGGACATGGTCCTTTAGGAGGAGACCACTTTCAGGACCTGAGCCAGTGCCACACCACCTCCCCTCCACACAACGACCTGGCAGGAGGACAGACAACCACAAAAGAGGCAAAACCGCAGTATACCATAGGTACTTTATTTTAAAAAATGCTGACCTGTTCAATCTCATAAGCCTCAGCCCTATACAATATATGTATACGTCTACTATTAAAAACCTTACTTGACAACACAGTAAAAATATTTCAGGCTCAAAAATGAAATGAGAATTTGCACCATGAAACAAAAAGAATAAGGCAGGCTGTGGCAGCAGAATTATAAAAAAGTTTAACTTTAAACAGGTTCATTTGTATGAAAAACATACACCATACTGAGATTCCATTAAGATGCAGACGACTGTGCGGACGATATTCATACAGTGGAAATTTTATAACAATATACATTTACTCGGTATTAATTCAATTCTCAGGCACTTGAGTATTTTCATATTGTGCAATTTTATGCTATTTCATTGAACTTAAGACAGAAATATATACTGCACTGTTTATTTGACAGCTGTAGGTAATTTTTAAAATAATGTTTAAAAAGATATGATCAGCTTCTAAAACATGATGCAGTGTTAATTTAAAAACAACCTTAAAAGTCTCCTATATTAATTTCCTGTGCAGTGAAACAATTGTAACCTGCCTCAACCGGTTTTTCATAATTCAAGTTCAGTGATCTGCTGTTTCTGTTTAAATATTAAAACTGTCTGATTTTTTTTTCACTGCACTGACAGATTTGTTTCACTTGTAAGAAAACGAGTTATTTAGGACTCAATTATCACCAGAAAACTGAATAAAAATTTGAAGGTCATTAATAGTGATTATATAACATACATGTTTATTATAACACTATCAGTAACATCCTGCATGACAAGTACTTTTATTTTTGTACATTATTTTCTTGTTAATACATCTGTATATTTAATTAAGTAAGACCTGGAATGGATTTTTTTTTTTTTTGCTTGATTGACCTTTTTACATTGTATTGCTACTTTTACTTAGACTAAGTAAAACATCTAAATACTTCTAGCACTGTTGTTACAGTAGTGCAGCTTTTGGAGACAGTGTTACAGACAGATTAGAGTGTGAGTTATAGATCGAGAGTGAAAAATCTTCACAGGTGCCCTTCATGTCACAGATAGAGGGCGCTCTTATGCAGCAGCCTAAGGTCTGTTCATCCTGTGCTGCTACAACAAGGACAGTGTTTCCAATTGTGACTAGGATGGTACATACAGTGGTGGAAAGTAACTAAGTACATTTACTCAAGTACACTTCTGAGATGCCTCTCCCTTACTTGAATAATTTCATTTTTTCTACTTGTTACTTCTGCCCAGCTACAACTCTAAAGGATTTGTACTTGAACGTTGTACTTTTACTCAGTTTACATTGACAGCTATAGTTACTTTGCAAAAAAAATAAAAATACAAACAACACACATAAAGAGAGAGAAATGTTTGAGCAGAGATGTCAGACTTGTGTCTGGGATTTATTTGGATCAAATGGTACATTAAAAATGATGAATTGTAACTATTTTTCATTTTTTGTGTCCTCTTGGCTGAGATCACAAGAGCCAATGGGGATTCCTGATGGCATAATCTAATTTATTAGTTTAATTTTAGTGAAGAAAATCAGAACTATT